CCACACACACACACACACACACACACACACACACACGCACCCACAGTAGACAATATTGTGGTGACTCACAACTAAATAAACCAACCAAACAATTCAAGTTTTTGAGATGGCAGTGAATAATAATGTAGCCCACAGTGCCCGGCAAGCTTACTCTATAGAAAGTGTGGTATTTGATTTTATCGTACAATAAGCCATTTCTACTCGAAACCTTTCATTATCCCAACCTCGCCCTTTTGAAAAGTACTATTTCAAATAATAGTTCTCATTCTACCGGTCACTGATAGACCCTACTCCTTTCCTTCTGTAGTTTTCTGCCTGCCTAATTGCCTGTCTGTCTGCCTGTCTGTCTGCCTGTCTGTCTGTCTGTCTTGCTTAATCTTTCCACTAAATGACAGCGCATGACGTAAAGAAAGAGCCCCCCCACCCCCACCCCACGCAACCGCAATTTTCAAATTGTGATGTAGCCGTTGCGGCTGGCACAGACTGACGCTCTCGTATTGAACTACACAGTCACATCTGACGCTCTTCTTTCTAGTACAAGCTGCAGACATTCTACCTTTATAGGAGCAGATTCATATCCTCCTGTGACCGACGGATGCCGGCGAAACAAATTTTATTTAAATGTACTGTCACTATGTCGCCGTGTTTCGCTTCACTAAAAAACAAACAATACTTTTTTGTTTGTCTCTTTGTTTGTTTGTTTGTTTGTTTGTTTGTTTTGTTTGTAATGTTTGTTTGTTTGGGTTTTTTTTTTTAAAGAGAAGCACATCGATAAAATAGTGGTCATTCAGTGCTGGGGACAAGTAAGACAGACGGATAGAAAAAAAAAACCCAGACGAAAAGTAAAGAGAAGTAGGATCTACCAGCGGGGCCATTCAATCACCCCGCACAAACAATTAATTGTTTTTTCTAAAACAAGAACTGCAAAAACAAAACAAACACCAATCGGCCATTGACCTACTTTACCTGCAGCCTGGGTTTATCCAGGTCGTTCAGCATGGCACAAAGGCGGCACCAGAACTTGGTGTCTATGAACGAGCCGGTACCTTTGTACCGGAAGTATTCGTTGTACAGAGTGTCGTTTCTGTCAAGCACTGAAAAAAACACGCCAAAATACGGAGATACAAAATAATATATTCAAAGAATAGGCAATACGTTTTTTTTTCATTTTACTGATCACCTATAGTGAAAAATATTTTTAATGGTTTTCGCCATAAATATGTAAATGAAGAAATGAATTCATAAATAATGCACAATACATGTATCAGAAACATAGAATAACCCTTTTCATTCACCCCCTTACTAACTTGTGCCTCAAATCACTTTTTTAGAACACCACCCCCCCCCCCCCTCCTTAATTTAAAAAAACAAAACAACGATATCCTGCATTCCTCGTACCCCTCCCTTTTTTCTCGTTTTTTTTTTTTAATTTAAATTTCATACTGTCGTGTGGTACGGTACATGTATGATATGCATAATATTATTAAGAGACACACAACTTACTCGTAAGATAGTCAGCCAGTGCTTTCATGGAGGGGAAATCGTCCACATGTATGTAAGATAGTGGAGGGGCGGAGCGTCGGTAGTCAGAGGGGCGAGCCCCAAGCACCACTGGCACTGCGTCATAGCTATGAAAAACAAAAAGAGGCGGGGGTTACCTTTTTCTTCTGTTTAATTGGCGATGTCATTTATCTTTTTTTTGGTAGGGGGGGGGGGGGTGAGAATAAGATATAAGGGGGATTTACAAGAGACCTTTTGATAGACAAACGGTGTAAAAATGTGCTGTGTGTAAAAGACAGAGAATCCATAATTAATGGCGAAATAGGTAGCCATGAGGAGAGAAAGTGCAATATTGATGATAATCTGGGAGAGACGAAGTCGGTACTGGGAAAACGGTACAGGGGTGCAACGGTTGGGGAGGTGAGACATTATTAATGCGTTTTATTTCAACAGTCAAACCTGTCCAAGACGACCTCCCGTTGTCAGTAGAAAAGTGGTCGTCTTAGACAGGTGGTGTCTTTGAGTTGTTATTGTTGTTAGTGATCCAATAGCCTCTGAGCGTTAACTCTTCTGCATGATGCCATTTTGTAATAGCTGCATGTCTGTTCTAATTGTTGTCTTGAAAAGTAGAGGCAGTTCGATGTGTGGGGTAGCTTGGGAAGAAAACATCCCCTCAAATCGGTTAGTTTTCTACAGAAAAACAGATGAAGTTCCACTGTCTCTGAAGGGTAGTCACATAGTGGGCAGGCAGCAGACTGCTTTACTCCAATTCGGTTGAGATGTTGATTTAGGGGCACATGTTGTGTTCTACGTTGGAAGATTATAAATTGATATTTGATTGAGTAGAAGAAGCACATCGGCCCGATAATAGTTATTTAAGGCAGGGGGGGAGAGTAAGACAGACAGGAAAAAGCAGAGGGGGAGAAAAGACATAGGACCTACAGCGGTGTCATCCGACCACCCACACAGACAGGCGGTCCTCTTATAGAGAGCCATTATAATGTAGATAAATGACAAGGGGAGAAAGTGGATAGTGGTCGTTTGTACAAGGGATTGTCTTGTACAAGTGGCCGTTTGAGCCGATTTGATAGTACATGTATTTACAAATGTTTTACGCCCTAAACAATACAATTTAGATCATTTAAGAGGCAGGCTGCCTCGGCCCTGCCTGTCATGACGATCCTGAGCTCAGTGGGATACAGCATCCCAGTAGACAGACAGACGGACCACCTGATAATAAATTTCCCCTTTCTAGAATCGAAATCTTGTCTCCTGTGTGCAACAGTACAGAGTCATATCAATCAATACACCACAGACACCATTCTACAAGTGCAATGTACTTGAGGTACAGGCAGTTAATAGGAATTGTTGGGGTAAGCCATTTAGAGCTTGCGCAGTATGCTGATAGAAAAGTAGATTAATGTTAGAGGATAATATACAGGACGAAACGTGAAAGGAAATTTGCATTACATTAAAATCAAGGGGCTTGTTTATTCATTTTTTCATTTTTATATATTTTTTAAAATATTATTTATTTATTTATTTTTTATATATTTTATTTGTCTGGGTTTTTTTTGTTCGTTCATTCGTTTGTTCGTTCTTTTGTTTCTTCGATTATTTGTTTGTTTGTCCTCTTTTCAGAATCTTGTTTTCCTTATTTGATTTTAAAAAATCAGCATTTCCCATTGTCTTATTCTATAATGAAAATTGCTTTTGACCAACACCATTCAAAATCCAGTGCTGTTTAGCATTAAAGTTACTTACAATAAGAAAAACTTAACTAACGAAGCATTTCATGCAATATTCCCATTATCATAGTAAAAGAGGGTTAACTGCTGGATATTGGAAGTGGGAAAAAAAGCACATCTTGGATTGCCACAATAATTGAGGCTAGATTTTAAAACTTTTCTTCATAAATTTATATAAAATACTATAAATCTCCGTCACCCGAAAAATTGTGCCGATGGGGACATCATACAATAATACACCCACATTGAACATTTGAACATTAGTGTTTTTACACCCCCGAAGACTCAATTCAGATAATCATTTTACCTGAGCGCGTTGATGAACATTTTTTCTGAAATGTAGTCGTGACAGTTGGCATTCTCAAAAGCCAGGTAGAACTTGTAGTGGCTACGAATCATCTGGAAACAATCTCCGTCACACTTGCTAGTCCCACAACGCCCGAACATATCTACCTGGACGTATTCCTGGAATTTAACAAATGTCAACTGTTTTCATTTCTAGTTTTAGTAAGAGTTTTACGACACTGGCAACACAAATAGGCCATATAAGAGCCGAAGATTAGAGATTTTGCTAGATCTAAAGAGTAACACAGAAAAAAACGAAGGAAGAGATATAAGGACGATAGACGTTGGTCAGGAAAGGAGCCAAACACACCCGAGCGCCCGCCAACCACCCACGTATTGATTTCTGTTCTGAGTGAGTCCCGAAGGGTGGATAAAGAGAAGCCCATTAAAGTTAAAATGGTACTTTTGCGAACGGAAAGAGTAAGACAGACAGACAGACAGACAGACAGACAGAAACAACAGAGGGAAAATACAGAAGTTGGACCTACCAGTGGCGCCTGCCAATCACTCGTACTGATTTCCGTAGGGAGATAGCTTCCCCGTAAAGCCCATTCCAGGATTTAAAAAAAATCCAAACATTCGGCTCATCGCTGGTTACCTCGACTTTTGTTCTGAGTCAGAGTTAGCGAGCCCTTTGTCTTGTTTACCGACAAATTCATGACAAATTCATGACAAAGTCATGACAAATTGAAGAGAGAAAGAGGTCTTGGCAAAACAATTTTTTCTGGTTGGTAAGCAGACATTGGGAGCTCCACTGACCTTGTCGACAAGGTACACAGGTATTTTATTGAGGTCCACCTTGGTTTAAATCCGTTTTAATTAAGCCAGCTCGTTTGGTGAGTTTTCTTATTCCCCAGCTCCTTCTGTCCGAGATAGACGTCTTACGATTATTCTTTAATCTCAATGTTTTACGCCGACAATGTCTTAATTTGTATTATTTAGGAGGCGGGCTGCTTCCATTGTGCTGTCAGGGACAACATAGAGTGAATGGTGAAACACATTCCAACAGACAGACAGATGGTCGAGGTCCTCAATTAAAAAAACACAACCACCATTTCCAACTCGAGAATCGAACTGACGTCTTCTGTGTGCACGACGAAGACTCCCCAAACAGTTACACTACAGACGCAGGCATCTAAGAAAAAAAGGGGAGAGGGGTGGGGGGTATTTAAAAGGCAATAACTTGGGTATCTTCACGTCAATTAGAACAAAACTGAAGAAATGAAATGAAACCAAGGGGTGTTGAATTTTTAATTTGGAGAAGTTCTGTCTTCGCGTTCAAGAAATATCAAATTTTAAAATGTTCAACCAAATTGAGTAAAACGCAAAACTTTACAACGTCTTAAAAACAACCATCATGTGCAATGTGCATTAACGAACAAACTCATCTCAAATTGGAATTCCTATTGAAAGGTTGTCTAAAAAAAACCCATCCATTCAAAGTTAAATGTTTTCCTTTTTTAGGGGGTTGGGTTTTTTTTAAAAGACAGAGTCTACAAAAACAGTTCACAAAAAACTGAACATTTGAAACCAAACGCTGACAAGGATTTCCAAAAAATCGACCTATAAACATGCCACTGGGTTACTCAAAATTTCTAGCGACATATTCGAGCCTGCCTGGAGAGAAGGTCAGCACTCTGAAAATATTATTTAGGCATCCACCACTTTCTCTGAGTTTATTTAGCTATGTCAGTTTTGAATAATTTGATTTCTTAGGGCACAAATAAGTTTTATTTTTAATTTTTTAGAAGTTGTTAAGTTTTACTCTTTACTCAAATTTGGTCGAACTTTAAAATCTTGACAATTCTCGAACAATCAGTTTTTTCGCATTGACAAAAATGATATTTCCTTAGTTAATAAATTGCATTCGTTTGCAGTTTTGTTGAAAGTAGTGCAAAGATGACATCATGCATAAAGAAAAGCTGTGTTGATACTAACATAAACTTCAAAATGGAGACATGAAACGTACTTGTAATTTGTGGATGTATTGAAGTCGGTCATTCCTCGGGGCACAGTTAGACATGATCACAGCAGCTAGTTTTGTCTTGCCCTCTGCATAATTTTTCAAGGGTGTACCTTTCGTCTCCAACACTGCGGTCCTCCTTTCTTTCCAAAGCCCATCCTCACCCGTCTCCCACACAAGTGAGGCGTTGGGAAATGGCAGCCACCGCTCGTAAGGTGCCACTATGGTGGAATCTCTGCGATATGTAGCCGTCCAGTTAAGCAAACCATCCGCTTTATCGGGGATGAACGTAACTAGAGGACTTTCCAGCTCGTAAAAAATCCACACATCGTCGGGTCTCCGGAACCTCATCAAGTCAGACATGGCGAGCAAATCGTGCGCACGAAACAGCACGGCGTCAGTCCTGTTCTCATTACTACCAGAGCTGACCACCTTGCAGTTAGTGAACTGACAGCCATCGTCCAGGAACTTCTGTCTTCCTTCCGGCACGCCCATCCCTTCCCCGGTTTTGATCGTGTACACATGAGATGTATTCGTGCGCTTAGGACCAAAGTTTATCTGTTCTAAAATCCGATCCGTGTCCGCCCGACTTGTGTCATAAACGTCCACAGCATGATGTATCTTTTCGTCATTGCCTGCCATCGTCCCTTCTTCTCCCTTTATTACTTTTCTTCCCCCCTTTTCAATGTTTCCTACCGATAGTTCACTCTCACTCTTTTCAGTAGCAGAATATTCCTGCCATGATATTCCGCCTAAAAGTTCCACCACCCGACTGCCTTTGTCGTCCAAAACGGAGACATGCCCGCCTTTGTGTGATAAACCCAGAGAAGGAACGAAATCACTGTTACCCTTTTCCTCGACAAAGTCCTCTTCCTTCTCACCATTTCTATCACTCTTCACCTTGTAACTTTGATCTGTTTTGCTATCTCTAGAATCTAGATCTTGTTCCTCCCTTGCCTCCAAGATGTCCAGATAATCCATTCGCATCAATGTTGCCCGATATGCATCTTCGATGTCCTGGCTAGTGCCCTCCTGCCGAAACTGTTTGACGTTCAAGAAGATGACACTTATGCAAAATATGGCGACGATGGAAAGGAAGACCACACGCATGCGCACCCCCTTGAAGGGTATCTTTAGGTTCATGCGGTATAGCATACTTGAGATCAAACGAAGGGGCTCTATGTCGGATGAGGGACGTAAAATTAGACCTGCAGAGGTAATATAATACAGAAGAACTTTTGATGAATCGCAAAATAAAAAACGTTTTGAATATAAGTGTTTCATCCCCCAATCGACACAATTTAGATAATTTAGGAGAATGGTTGCGACACTGCCTGTCTGTGCCAACATGGACTGAGAGGGGTTAAACGTCCCACAGAAAGACTGAGATACTTGACAGAAATTACACGCGAATCTAACTCAGGTCTTTCGTATGCCACGGAGCAGTGCCTTACCCCACGCCACAGACGCCGGTGACGAAATAGGAGTAGTGTCACAATTATCAAGACAAGGTTTTGTTTCCAAAACAGAGGGCACTAGATCTAGAATCTAGAGGATATGTGGGAAGGGGGGTGGAGCAATGTTTTCAAAATTATCCTGCTAGGCTTGTACTAAAGAAAAAGAAGAGGGATCACATATTCCCATGTTAAGAACGTTGCATTGGCTTCCCGTGTCAGCTAGAATAGCTTATAAAATTGCAATATTATGTCATAAATGTGTCAACAACAAAGCTCCCTGATGTCTTAGTGATCTCATCCAGATTTATGTTCCGCCTGGATCACTAAGATCAGACGATCAGTATCTTTTAAGAGTTTCTAGAAAAGGAGGTAAAAAAATTAGCTGAAAGATCGTTTCCCCGCCTTGCTCCATCAGATTGGAACTCTCTTCCCCAACCCTTAAGACATACAACATCTAAGTCTAAATTTAAACTATCTTTAAAGATACATTTAATGACATCATTTTCATGTCAATAAATTCATGTTCAGTACAATGTTATGTAAATGACTATGTATCCATTCAGATATTTTGCGAATTGTGTTGTGTATATTATTTTATTATGTATTTCTATGTGCTCATTTCGTAACGATATGTAAGTGTGCGCATGTGATAAGCAAGTAGATGTGTGTGTGTGTGTGTGTGTGTGTGTGTGTGTGTGTGTGTGTGTGTGTGTGTGTGTGTGTGTGTGTGTGAGTGTGTTTGGCGTGCATGTGTGCGCACATGTGTGCGTGTAATGTGTGCGTGAGTGTGTGTAAGTGTTTGTGTGTGCGTAATTGTGTGAGTGTGAGTGTGTGTGTGTATGTTTGTGTGTATGTGGGTGGGTGTGCGTGTGTGTGCGTGTGTGTGTGTGTGTGTGTGTGTGTGTGTGTGTATGTGAGTGTGTGTGTGCGTGTCTGTGTGTGTGCGTTTGTGTGTGTGTGAGCGTGAATATTGTTCGTACATGCATTTATGTTAAGCGCCTAGAGTTGTGTTCACACGGGAGTGGGCGCTTTGGAAATGATCTTCATTATTATTATTATTATTATTATTATTATTATTATTATTATTATTATTATTATTATTATTATCATTATTATTATTATTATTATTATTATTAGTATTGTTATTATTATTATTATTATTATTATTATTATTGTTATTATTATTATTATCTTTATTATTATTATTATCATTATTATTATTATTATTATTATTATCATTATTTTTATCATCGTTATTATTATTTGCATTATTATCGACATAGAGAAAGAACGTTTTTTTTTATATTTCTTTGATACATTGATGAAAAGTAAGTTTACTAAATGGTGACATTTTTACTGCAACAAGTACATATAAATGAATACAAAAACAACAACTATTATAAAATTGAAAGATTTGTGGGTTTTTGCCATAATATAGTATGCCCCTGTAATGCCGTACTTAACACCAAGTGTATTAAATAGTAGCTTAGTTGATACATTTTGCAAAATGACAAATACCTTCGATTTGATAATGCAAACGGGTATATCATGAACATCCACTCAATATTATGTGTTCGTGTGCAGCGTGTGCATTTGGGTTCTTACCAGACGAATTATAATATAATGAGAGCAGACATTCTTTTCATATTCACTTGTCATTTATTAGGGGATTACATTTTGCATGGGCTAAAGTTTTTGTAACTGAGAGGTGTCATTAGTGAGCAGTGTGGATGGCTGGTGCCTCTATAAATAAATTATTGATGGTTAGTGAGCAGTGACGTATTTCACGCGTATACAAAATGTGTGTGAAAAGTGGCAAGTGCTGTGAACACTCTCATTTTTCTTGAGACAGAGATTTTTTTCTATTCTATATGCTTTCATGAAAAGAAAAGTGTGGGTTTTTTTTTTAATTGTTGTGGAAAAATATGGTTATGTTAAGTCAAATTGCTACAAACTGCTGTACAACTTATTGATGCTACTGATACACGAGTTAAAGAGTGTTCTGAAAATCTGGAAATGACCAAAAAATTTTAGTCATCCATATTTCTTTCAAAATTCATTATGCTGGATGGTAGAATATCGGTCGTTAAACTCTTAGTTTTTAGTGTAATTTACTTTTTTGTGTAAGTCTCTATGTATAAGGACAAACAAAACATTTTGTTTCACAAGCTTGTTCTGCATTTTTTAAAGCAATTTTGTACTGGCTAGACTCTATACAGGCATAGTTGTGTTCTGAAAACCTGGAAATAGCATTATTTCTTAGACAACGAAATTTATTTTACAATTCGATGTGTTGGTCGAAAGCATGTCGGTCGTTACACTCTCAGTGTTAAGTATCATTTTTTGTGTGTGTGTATGTCAAGATGAAAAAAACATCAAATCATTTTGTTTTAGAGCCTGATTCTGCATTTTTAAAAGCAATTTTTTTCTGACTATTCTGAACAGGAGCGTTGTTGTGTTCTGAAAAGCTGGAAAGGGCATTCTTTTTAGTAATACAAATTCATTTTAAAATTCGTTATTTTAGTTGTTAACATGTCGGTCGTTACACTTCAAGTGTAGCATGTAATTTACTTTCTTTTGTGCATGTTAAGATGTATAAACCATCAATGCCTTTTGTTTTATAGCCTAATTCTGCACTTTTACAAGCAATTTTGTATTGAGGAGCCTGTAGACAAGCATAGTTGTGTTCCGAAAAGCTTGAAATGGAATTATTTCTTAGTCATCCAAGTTTCTTTGAAAATGAGTTACGTTTGTTGGTAGCATGTCGGACGTTACAGTCCCACTGATAAGTATAATTTACTTGTTTTTGTGTATGTCTACTCGTAAAACCAATAATCAAAAGGAATTTTTTACTGACTAGTCTCTAGACATTCACAGTTGTGTTCGGAAAAGCTTGAAAACGCATTCTTTCTTAGTTATCCCAATTAAAATTTCTTTCAAAATTTGTTATGTTGGCAAGTAGCATGTCGACCATTACGCTCTCAGTATTCAGTATAATTTATTTGTTTTGTGTATGTCTACTTGTAAAAACTCACGAAACTTTTTTGACAACCTGATTCTGTATTTCTAAAAGGAATTTTGTGCCGGCTAGACTCCAGACAAGCATACTTGTCTTCTTCAGAGCTGGAAATGGCCTTATAGAGAGGCATTCAAATTTCTTTCAAGGCTCGTTATGTTTTTTAGCAGCATGTCGGTCATTACACTTTCAGTGTAGAGTAAAATTTACTCGTTTTTAGGTATGTCAAGACTAGATGAAAAAACCCCAATAATACAGTTTGTTTTAAAACCTGATTCTGCATTTTAAAGAACAAATATTTGCTGAATATACTCTCGTAAAGATTAACTGTGCTCGAAAAGTTGGAAATTACATTTTTGTTTATATCTTAGTCCTCTAAATTTCTTTTTTTAAAATTATTTATGTTGGTTGGTAGGATGTCGGTCGTTACACTCCGGGTGTTCTTTATAATTTACTTGTTTTTGAGTCTATTTGGATGTGAAATCCAACAATGCACTTTGTTTTTGTAACTGATTCTGCATTTTAAATGTAGTTTTGCACTGATCACACTCTAGACAAGACTAGTTGTGTTCTGAAAGCGGCAAATGATTTTATCTTTTAGTCAAATCAAATTTCTTTTGAAATTCTTTATGTTGGTTGGTAGCATGTCTGTCATAACACTTTTAGTTCTAGACCTGATTCTGCTTTTTCGAAAGCAATTTTGTATTGACTAGACTGTAGACAGAAGTAGTTGTGTTCATAAAAGCTGAAAAATGCATTATTTCCTAGTAGTACAATATTCTTTTAAACCTGATATGTTGGTTGGTAGCACATCGGTCGTTACACTCTAAGTGTTCAGTATCATTTATTTGTTATTGTGAATGTCTAGATGTATAAACCAACTACGCATTTTCATTTATAACCTGATTCTGCATTTTAATAGCGGTTTTGTACTGATTACACTTCAGACAAAAAGTTGTATTTTAAAAAGATGAAAATGGCAAAAATTCTTAGCCATTCAAATCTCGTTTAAAATTCTTTATATTGGTTTTGAAACATGTCGATTGTTACACTTTCAGGGTTTAATTATAATTTATTTGTTGTTTTTGCTGTCGTTGTGTAGCTTTGTCTAGATGTAGAGACCAACAAAACACTTCGTTGTACAACATGATTCTGCATTTTTAAAAGCAAGGTTGCATACTGACAAAAAGGTAGTCACGCATAGTTGTATTCTGAAAAGCTGGAAACGGCTATTTTTCATTCATTCAAATTTCTTTCAAAATTTGATATGTTGGTTGGTATCCAGTCGGTCGTTACACTCCTAGTGTTCAGTTTAATTTATTTGTTTTTGTGTATGTCTAGATGTAAAAACCAATAATGCATTTTTCCTTAAAACCTGATTCTGTAGTTTTAAAAGAAATGTTGTACTGATTAAAATTTTTACAAACGTAGTTGTGTTTTCAAAATGTGGAAACGGCATTATTTGTTTATCTATCCAAATTTCTGTTAAAATTTGTTATGTTGTTGGTAGCATGCCTGTCGTTGCCCTCTCCGTGTTGAGTTGTTGTTGTTGTTGTTGCTGTTGTTGTTGTTGTTGTTTTGTTGCTCTTGTTGGTTTTTGGGGGGGTGTTATTTTTGTTTTGTCTTGTTTTGGGTTGTTGGGGGGTTGTTGTTGTTTTTTTTTTTTTTTTTTTTTTTTTTTTGGGGGGG